AGAGTTCCCATGGCGGCCCCGCCCCATGTCGGCACACCCCTCGCACGTTTCGTGGCCCCATGGGGAGCTCCACCCAATGCCCCAGTGGCAGGCTTAGCATGGCGGCCCCGCCTCATTTTGGCACACCCATCACGCGCTTCGCGGCCTCATAGGAAGCCCCGCAGAAGACCCCAGTTGCAGGGGTCGCATGGCGGCCCCGCCCCATTTCGGCACACCCCTTAGACGCTTCGTGGCCCCATCTGGAGGCCCACAGAAAGTTGAGTTCATATTGCGGTACCCACAATTGCATCTGGTTTGACTTTTCTCTCGGACATGTTTTTCTGGTTCCCGGCAATTCAAGATGTGGTGAAGATGGTGATTCCCAGGGATTTCCCTTCAGGTTTGGGGGAAAGCAGGAGGCTTTGAGGAGGCGTTCGTTTTGGACGCCCGCCTCAGGGTTTTTCTGATAAGGTCAGGATGGGTTAGGGAGTTCTCCTTTCCAGAACCCCCCCCTCAGGGGGGTAGTGGGGTTGTCTCTCAAGACCCCCCCCTCAGGGTGGTCTTTGGGGGAGTTCGGAGAGCTTGCTCGCTGAACCCTCTCGCTCAGTAGGGGCGCTTGGAGGGGTTAAGATGGCTTGTTTGTTTGCCCTTTCAGAACTCCCTCCCAATGCGATTTGAATTGATTACGTTTTGGGTTTTCTCTCCAGGTCCCTCACAGAACCCCCCTCGGGGCTTCGGGGGAGAGGAGCGGTCGTCTGGGCCTGGGTGTCGGTCTGGCGGCTCCGTGGTCGCCGTCGCCGCCCCGTCGTTGCGTTGATTCCCCATTCTAAAAAAGTATTCGGATCTCCCTTCCCCCCCCGGAATTAACGCGCAACACCTTTTCGTAGTGTTTTCCGTGTATGACTATGCACACCCGCCATCGTAAATGTGAACTAATAACATCCCAGGCAGTCGCGGATCGAGTCCCCCGCACCCTATGCAAGACATCTGATGCGCGCACACCCGTGCATCACGAATCGCAAGTTTCCAACAATCCCCTGCAAACAAATGGGACGAAGTGCACACGCGCGCATCGTCGCGCGCCCATGCCAAAATCGGTCCAAAACCTTGGGTGCCGCACGCATTTCAAAATCGAGTGTCCCGAAAACATATAAATCTAAGAGTTCGCAACAAGATTGTTTTAAAAAAGCTTGCGCCCGCGATCATGTGAATGCTTCAGACATCCATTGTTTTCAACAATTTCATCAAGCGCTACCGACTGTGCCTCGCGAGCGCATGTCGAAGTCATTCGAACGCCCTTGCGCGCGCGCTGTCGCAATAGTCCTTTGCAGACGCACAGGACGAAGTGCGCGTCGTCGCGCGCGCATGCGGCATCCTCCCCAAACCTAAGGCTTCGCAAGGTTTCCACGATCGAGTGTCCCGAAAACAAATGAAAAGCCAATGTCGCAGCAGGAATTTCCCCAAAAGCCTGCGCTCACGCTCTTGCAAGTCCTTCAGAAAACCACTGGTTCTTTCAACGTGTCCATTGCATGCGACCAGGTGGGCCTCTCGCGCGCGCATGTCGAAATCATTCGAACGTCCTTTGCGCGAGTGCTGGAGGGCACGATCCCTGTCAGATAATTCGGGCCATTCGCACGCGTCGGCCGCGCGCGCATGCCGAAATCCTGATCACAACCTTCCTGACCGACGCGAGGATACCATCATCGTCATCGGCGTGATCAACATCGGCGCCGTCGTTGCCATTGCCGACGTCATTGTCCTCATCGTCACCAGCATCGCTACTATCATCATCGTGTCTGCCGTTGTCGACGTCGCCATGGTACCGCGCCGGCCCGAGTCACCGACTCGCACTGAAGTGCCCGCGCGTCAGCGCGGCTTGCGAGACGTGCTGGGAAGCTCTCAGCGGTCAGCGCCAACGTGGCCACGCCGGTCGCGTCAGACTAGCGCGGCCGCTCTGCGCGCGAGCCTACGCGCTAGCGAGGTTGCGGCGATGTGCCAGCCAGCGCCGAGCAGTCATCGCAATCGCCGCCGCATGGGCTTTGCAAACCAAGTTGCGGGTGGGCGGGTGGGATGCTTATGCGGGCAGCGTGGTTGGCAATTTCAAGTTCGGCAGGGTGGATTGCACAACACAGGTTGCACCAGATAGCTTGCACCGCATTTAATTGCCCACATCGGTTGCATTACACAGATCACACACGTAGATTGCACAACATACCTTGCACCACGCAGATTCAATTACGCCGATTGCACCACATACATTGCGCACCGCATAGAGTGCACCACGCCGACTGCACCACATATGTTTCGCACAACGCAGATTGCACAATATAGTGCAATACATCGGTTGCAACACGACTGCTCCAACGATTGTTGCACCATTCTGCAACGCCATCCTTTCTTTCAGTTGCACCAGTACTCCGACGAGGCGCTCCCCATAGCTGATTGAAAAGGCATCCTTGGTACTAGACGTGCCCCTTTGCTGTACACGACCCTCTGCTAGAGGAGGTCTCTCCTAATTCGTTTTCTGAAAACGCATATTCGACATTAGGCGTGCCCCATCTGCTGTGCACCTCCCGCTGTTAGACCGGGCCCCTCCCCAAGCTGATTCGAACCGCATCCTTGGTAATAGACGTGCCCCTCTGGTGCGCGCCCCCCTCATGCTAGACGAAGCCCTTCCCCGAGCTGATTAAACATGCATCCTTGGTATTACACGCGCTCCATTTCCTGTACACCACCCGCTGATACCCGAAGCCCATCCCAAGTTTATTCAACAAGTACATAGGTACAAGACGTGCCCTTCTGCTGTGCCCCACCCTCTGCTAGACGAGGATCCTTCCCAAGTTGATTAAACAAAGCATTCTTGGTACTAGACGTCCCCCTTTGCTGCGCACCGCCCGCTACTAGACGTGAGCCCTTCAAGCTGATGAGACATCAGTACTAGACGTGCCCTTCTGTTGTGCACCACCTTCTGCTAGACGAGGTCCTTCCCCAAGTTGTGGTTTCTTATAAGAGCGCCCTCGGTATTAGACGCCACCCCCTGCTGTGCACCACCCGCTGTTAGACCCGGCCCCTCCCCAAACTGATTCGAACCTCATCCTTGGTATTAGACGTGCCCCTCTGGTGCGCGCCCCCCTCATGCTAGACGAAGCCCTTCCCTGAGCTGATTAAACATGCATCCTTGGTATTACACGCGCTCCATTTCCTGTACACCACCCGCTGATACCCGAAGCCCATCCCAAGTTTATTCAACAAGTACATAGGTACAAGACGTGCCCTTCTGCTGTGCCCCACCCTCTGCTAGACGAGGATCCATCCCAAGTTGATTAAACAAAGCATCCTTGGTACTAGACGTCCTCTTTTGCTGCGCACCGCCCGCTACTAGACGTGAGCCCTCCAAGCTGATAAGACATAAGTATTAGACGTGCCCTTCTGTTGTGCACCACCTTCTGCTAGACGAGGTCCTTCCCCAATTTGCTGTTTCTTATAAAAGCGCCCTCGGTATTAGACGCCACCCCCTGCTGTGCACCACCAGCTGCTAGACGAGGCCCCTCCCCAAGTTGATCAAAGATGCATCCTTGGTACCAGGCGTGCCCCTCCGCTGTGCACCTTCCTCCAATAGACGAGGCCCCTCCCCAAGCTGATTGAAACACATCCTGGGTACTAGACGTGCCTCTTTGCTGTGTATCATCCTCTGCTGGACGAGGCGCCCCCCATAGCTGATTAAAAAGGCATCCTTGGTACTGGACGTGCCCCTTTGCTGTGCACTACCCTCTGCTGGACGAGGCCCCTTCCCAAGTGCTTGTTTAGTCACCCTCGGGAGGGGCCTTGTCTAGCGATGGGTGGTGTACAGCAGAGCTGCGCACCTAGCCGTGCAACCACCAGCAGCTGTTCCATCCCTGACCCCTCTCAGCTCCCCAGCAAAAATTTTGAGTGCTGGGTCCAGGTAGAAACCCTAACCCCCCCTAACCCACCAACAAGACAAAACCAGGGGCGACATCAGGGGGAAATCCCCAAATAAACCCCCCCGTGCCTCCAAACAACTATCCTGAGGGGGGCTCCTGGGGGTGAAGGATAAACCCCCCTATTGCCCCCCAAAACATTTCCCTGAAGGGGGATCTCTGGAGGGAGAACCTCGTGAACACCCCAACCCACCCCCCACCCCTGGGGAACTGAGGGGGGAAAGCCCTTCCAACCCTTTTTCATCCCCGCAAAATCCCTGATGGGGGGCCCCCCACCCCCCCAGCACCGTTATGAGAGGGGGGGTCCGGGTGGACAGCCCCCCGACCCTTCCCCCTCCTAACCATTCAAAAACCTTCTCCTGGTGGGGGGATCCAGAGGGAGCACCTTCACAACCCCCCTCCCCGACCCTCCGAAAAACCTCCCTGAGGGGGGTCGGGGGGAAAAACTTCCGAGCCCCACCTAACGGTACGAAGCCCCGGCCTCACCCCCCAAAACCTCCTGAGGGGGGGCCCGGAGATAAAACTTCCTTAACCCTTCCAAGACACTTTCCTGAGGGAGGGTTCTGGGGGGGACCCACATAACCAACCCCCCGAAAACCTTTCCTGATGGGATTTGAACCCCCCAAGAACCTCGATGGGGGGTCTGAGGGGAAAATTTCCCCCAATCCGACCACCCCTTAGGGAGAATTTTTTTTTGTGCACCCCGCTCCCCCCGAGGAGGGAACTACGTGGTTTTCAAGGGGGGGGGGTCGATTATAGTTATGTCTTCTATTCTGGCGCCCCGGACCCCTCTCTCTCCTGGGCCCGGGACTCCCCTCCAAAAAACAAACTCTGATAGGGGCGGGGGGGGGGGATAGGGGGTGTTCTCCAGGCGGGGTCGACGAACCGCCGCATCGCCCTCGCCCCGGGGCCCGAAATCGCCCCCCCGAGGGCCGAAGTGTGTGAAAAGAGCCCGGATGGCTAAGATCATACCGCCGGGGTTTCGGGGAGGCACGCCACATGAGGTGATCGCCCACCGCCACGGGAGCATCGCATTCCCCCCCCGTACGCGCCGCGCTGCAGGCTGCCCCCCAGCGACGTGACGTGCAAGGCGCCGTCCCCTCTTCGGAGGAGGAGGAGGAGGAGGAAGAGGAGGAGGAGAAGGAGGAGGAGGAGGAGGAGGAGGAGGAGGAGGAGGAAGAGGAGGAGGATAAGGAGGAGGAGGAGGAGGAGGAGGAGGAGGAGGAGGAGGAGGAGGTGCAGGTGCAGGGGTCGGAGCGTGGCGCCCGGGCTGTCCGCGGGTGGGGACCGGCCCGCAGAGGCCCCCGGTCCCCGGCGGTGTGGCTTTTGCTCGGCCGTCCATGCGGTGTCGGGATCTCGCTCGCGGAAGAGGCAGCGCCACACGTCTCTCCTCCTCTCCTCCCCCTCCCCCCCTCCACCCCTCCTCCCACCCCTGTCTCTGCCCTCGCCAGGCCCACTTCGGCACCCTTCGCGCGCTCCGTGGCCCCAGGGGGAGCCCCACCGAAGGCCCCATTGGGAGGGGGGTCGCATGCAGGTTCCCTACCCACTTCGGCACACCCCTGGCGCGCTTTGTGGCCTCATAGGGAGCTGCACCGAAGGCCCCGGGGAGGTCGCATGCGGCTCCGCACCTATTACGGCACACCCTTCACACGTTTCGTGGCCCCACAGGGAGCTCCACCGAAGGCTCCAACAGCGTGGTGCTGCATTCGGTTCGCCACCCAGTCCGACACACCCCTCACTCATTTCGCGGCCCCACAGTGAGCTCCATCGAAGGTCCCAAAAACATCGTATTGCATGCGGTTCCCCACGCATTTCGGCACACCCCTCTTACGCTTCGCGGCCCCGCAGGAAACTCCACCGAAGACCCTAAGCACGTGGGATTGCATGCGGCTCCGCACCCATATCGGCACACCCCTCACACGCTTTGTAGTCCCACAGGGGGCTCCACTCGAGGCCACCAAGGCGTGGCATTGCATGCGGTTCCCCATCCATGTCGGCACACCCCTTACACGGCTCGCGGCCTCAGATAGAGTTCCACCGAAGGCCACCAAATCATCGTGTTGCATGCGGTTCCCGTGCCCTTTTTGGCACACCCCTCATTCTTTTCGGGGCCTCACAGGGAGCTCCACCGAAGGCCACAGTGGCAGGGTCCGCATGCGTCCCCGCACCCCTTCCGGCACACACCCCACGCGCGTCGTGGCCCCAGGGGGGAACTCCACTGAGGGCGGTACCCGCAGCGCGGTGCTCACAACTGGATGTGCGCGGGCGGCCTGCGGTGGACCCCACGAGGGGCAGCGCGGGCTGCGGGACACCCCGCTTCCCCCGATGCCCGCGGCGTGGGGGTTCGGGCGGAAACGCTTGTGCGTCGCATGTGGGGGTGCCCGCGCCACAGGGACGGCCTGGCCTGCTCTGCCCCCCAGCGCCTGCGCGCGCAGGCCCGCGCAGGCGTCGGGGCAGGCCCCGGCACGCGGCTCCGCGGCCTGCCTCGGGTGAGTCTGACGGCTCCCGCCTGCAGGGGTGGGGGGGCGGACGCGGAGACGCGGAGTGGGCGGTGGGAGCTGCCAGCGATGGCGATAATGATGATGGAAGCTTCCACCTCACTGTAGGCACACACACATCGTCGTCGAAGGCATGTATGCTGAAGGCGGACATGTTTGTTGGCTGTATACGCTCGCAACGGGACGGCGGCGACGAGCCCATTGAAGACGACGTGGTTCTGCAACGGCAGGGCGGCAATTCGGCTCACTGCAGGCACTCAGCCCTCACTGAAGGTGAGCTCGTCGCCTTCCGTGAGCCGCTCCCTGCTCGAGGCGCCGAACCGCTGCCGAGAACAGAGGGCTGGGCATCGGGACGCGGGGCGGCGAGGCTGGGCACGGAGACGCGGACGTCGCCGCCCCTTCCGGCGCGCGCCGAGCACGAGCTGGCAGCTGGACCGCGCGCGGCCGAGCGGCGCCCGGGCCAGCGGCAGCCCCGGGGGCCGATCGGGCGACCTTCCGCGCCCTGCGGCCGCGGAGCCTCGCGCGCCCGCCGCGCGGCACCGCCGGGGCCCGGGGCCCCGCGGGGGCTGCCGCCGCGGCGGGCGCCGAGCGCCGCGGAGCCGCCCGTGCGGCCGGCCTCGGAAGGCCAGGCGGTCGTGGGCTCTTCAAACGACGCGAAGACCAGGACAAAACCGGATCGGGATAACTCGAAATCTCTGAGAATCGGCGGGTTTGGAGGATGTATTGGGCGCCGCGGCCGCTCCAGAGCGTTCCGGAACGCTCTGAGAGCGCTCCGGAACGCTCTGGAGCGATTTATCCCGATCCTAGCCCTGTTTTAGCTCTGGCTCCGCGTGCCGCGCCGCGGGTGCTGGCCCAACACGCTTCGGCGCGGCAGGCCGCCCACGCCCCCGTGTCCAAGCGCCAGCTTTCTCGAGGGGGTCCCAGCCTCCCGCCCCGCGCAATGAGCAGCGCGGCGCGCCATCCACTAGCCAGGCATCGCGTGTCGCCGGGGCCGCCGCCGCGACACGCTATGCAACGGTCCCCGACCGTGACCCTTGACGCTTCGCGTATCCCCACCGTGCGCTCCTACACCCGCGCGACACTGTGTTTTGGTTCTTCGGCCAGCTTCTACAGTCGGTGGTAGGTTCCGTTGGCCGCGCGCCGAGTGGGTCAGCCTTCGGCGTCGTCGGATTTCGTTCCCACTACGTGCCGCTGGCGTCCCAGGCTGGTACATAGTTGTCTGTCTGGGCAGTTGCTCGGAGCTTGGCGCCGCTAGGGCGACTTACTCCGCAGCTTGCACCTCCGTGCGCTAGGTGCGTCCCAGTGAATGCGGAGCATTTTGCTCAGTGCACGTGCGTTGCACGCCTAGCGTGGGATTTGCCTGTTCCGCCGTCCCGGACACGCCTGTTGCCGGCTGACCTTTGTCGCGCGGCCGCCGACCAAAAAAAAAATCCCCACCGTCCATCCGGAAGCGATGCCCGCGAGAACTCACGGGAGAAGGGGGGAAGAGACACGCAGAGTGAACAGAAAGCGGGCAACCAGGACGAATTGAGGCTTCTGGGAGCGAGGGGGGGACCTGGAGGGCCTTTCGGGGCCAGCGCTGGAACCCGCGTTGGCGTCGAGAAGTGAGGAGGAGGAGCAGGAGGAGGAGGAAGACCAGTAGTGCAAACCCAAGATTTATCGACGATGTTGGAATGAACCCTCCCTCCAAGCTCCCTCTTCATAGGCCCCTGTACAACGGTTCATCTCCACTGAGAGAACTGCCCCGTTGGAAGACAACCGTTCGAAAACCCTGAAGCATGCCAAAACAACGTTTTCGGTTTTCCAACGCCACCGATCAACCTGCTTGTTGCGTCTTGACGATCTTCAGTCGTGACAGAACACCTGTCCTGAGATTTCAACACAGCGAATCAACGTAGCTGTTGCGCCCTCATAATCTTGAGTCCGTCCAAAAGCACCATCTTTGGTATGCTGAGCGTGGGAATCCGTAAAACTATGGCAAGTTGTTTAAACGAATGCTCGCGGCGCTAAAGCGAGAGCCACATTTTGAAAAAGGAGCCACCTCATTCTGTGAAACCCCACAACTTTTGAAAACCAATGTGCGCGGCGCTAAGGCGAGAGCCATATTTTGAAAACCACCGCCCTCAATCCGTGAAGCTTTTGCGAAGTTTGATGACGAATGTGCGCGGCGCAAAGGCGAGAGCCACATGTTGAAAACCCCCTGCCCTTAATCAGTTCAACTCCTTCAGATGTTGAAAACGAATGTGCGCGGCGCTAGAGCGAGAGCCACATTTTGAAAATTACCTGCTTTCAATCAGTGAAACTCTTGCGAATGTTTAAAGCTTATGCGCGCGGCGCTTAGGCGAGAACCACATTGTGAAAACCACCCGCCCTCCATTTGTGAAATTGCTGTCATGTTAGAGCTTCAAGGTCACTAGTGGTGAGCAAGTCTCAGGCGAAACGCCCCTCCCGCCCTAAAAATTGGCCTCGGGGTGCGACAGGGATAAATTATTTACAAGGAGAAGAAATTGAGGAGGAGGAGGAGGAGGAGGAGGAGGAGGAGGAGGAGGAGGAAGAAGGGGAGGCGGCGGCGGCGACGGAGGAGGAGGAGGAGGAGGAGGAGGAAAATGAGCAGCTGGAGGAGGAGAAGGAGGAGGAGGAGGAGGAGGAGGAGGAGGAGGAGGACGAGGAGGACGAGGAGGCGGCGGCGACGGCGGCGGGGGCGGAGGATGAGGAGGAGGAGGACCAGTGCAAGCCCAAGATTCATCAACGATGTTGAAACGCACCCTCCTTCCAACATCCTCCGCCATAGGTCCCTGCAGGGGGTCATTTCCGCTGAGGGAAGTACCCCGTTGGGGGGCAACCGCGTGAACGTCTTGAAGCGTGCCAAATCATCAATCCCAGGGATTCAGCGCCACGAGTTAAACCCTGACTGTTCCGTTTTTGCGATCCGGAATCTTGCCAGAACACCTTTCTTGGGATTTCAACAACGCGAGTCAACGTAACTGTTGCGCACTGACAATCCTGAATCGCTCAAAACACACATTCTGGTACGTTAACCATGAGAACCAATGAAATGTTTACAAATGCTAACAACACGCGGGCGCGGGGATAAGGCGAGAGCCACATGTTGAAAATGAGCCTCCCTCAATCCGCGAAAAGTCTGGCACTTTTTAAAAAGAATGTGCGCGGCGCTAGGGCGAGAGCCATATTTTGAAAACGGCGAGTTTTGAAAACGAATGTACGCGGCGCTAAAGCGAGAGGAATCCATTGCCGATGTTTTAAACGAATGTGCGCGGCGCAAAGGCGAGAGCCACATTACGAAGGCAAGCGTCCCTCAATCCGTGAAACCCATGCGAAGGTTCAAAAAGAGTGCGCGCGGCGCTAAGGCGAGAGCCGCATTTGGAAAACGAGCCGCCCTCAATCCGTGAAGCTCTTGTACATGTTTAAAACGAATGTGCGCAGCGCTAATGCGAGAGCCACATTTTGAAAACCACCCGTCTTCATCTGTGAAGTTGTTGTTATTGTTTCAAGCATCCGGATCATAGATGGTCACGAAGTCTCAGGCGAAACGCCCTGCCCGCCCTTTCGACCGGCCTCGGGGTGCGACAGGGAGAAGTTATTCTTTCATCAGGAAAAGGACTGGAGGGAGAGGGGGGAGGAGAAGGAGGAGGAGGAAGAAAAGGAGGGGGAGGAGGAGCAGGAGGAGGAGGAGGAGGAGGAGGAGGGGGAAGGAGAGGAGGAGGAGGAGAGGAGGAGGAAAAGGAGGAGGTGGAGGAGGAGAAGGAGGAGGAGGAGAAGGAGGAGGAGGAGGTGGAGGAGGAGTTGGAGGAGGAGGAGGAGGAGGAGGAGGAGGAGGAGGAGGTGGAGGACGGAGGAGGCAATGAGATGCAAAAGGAAGCAACATGAGGAGGAGCAGGAGGAGGAGGAGGAGGAGGAGGAAGAGGGAGGATGACGAGACAGGAAGGACAGGGGAGGAGGATAAGGAGGAACCTTTGGAGGGCTCGTGGAATTATATCGGGGCCATCTTGGGGCTCTGTTGGGAGGATCCAGGGTCCACTTGGGGCTTCTTGGGGCCATCCCAGAAAGCACGGATCAAAGGAGGGAGGTTTTAGTTCTCGCCCCCCCCCCCCCCCCACTTAAGAGCCATTCGGTACCATTATCCGAGAGACACGCCGGAGGGAGGGGAGATGATCGGTGAGAAGTAGTGATGACACGAGGAGGAGGAGGAGGAGGAGGAGGAGGAGGAGGGAGGTGAGAGGTGAGGTGAGGAGGTGAGGTGAGGTGAGGTGAGGTGAGGTGAGGTGAGGTGAGGTGAGGTGAGGTGAGGTGAGGTGAGGTGAGGTGAGGTAGGGAGGAGGAGGTGGAGGAGGAGGAGGAGGAGGAGGAGGAAAGGGAGGAGGAGTAAGAGGAGGAGGAGGAGGAGGAGGAGGAAGAGGAAGAGGAGCAGGAAGGGGGCGGATTAGCAGGAGGAGCAGGAGGAGGAGGGAGGACGGAGGTCGGCGGTGACGGCGGCGGCGGCAACGACGGCGACGGCGGCCACGACGACGACTGCGACGACGGCGACGGCGGCGACGGTGGCGGCGACGACGACGAGAACGGCGGCCACGACGACGATGGCGGTGAGGAGGACGGCGGCAGCGGCGACGGCCGCGATGACGACGACCTCCCGCCCAGATGCTCGTCCCGGTGGTCACAGCCCACCTCGCCCAGTACGACCCAGAGGAGGCGCCGCTGCCGCCGACCGCCGGGTGCGAGCAGGCTGCGTGCCTCGGGACGTCGTCGTCGTCGTCGACGACTACGTAGGATTCGACGTCGTCTTCCGCGTCGTCGTCGCGGCGTCGGGGTCAGCGTCGTCGTCGACGTCGCGCTCCCGCGCGTGCGCGCTCGGGGGTGCGTGCTGAGAAGGAGGTGGAGGGAGGAGGGAGGAGGGATGAAGGGGAGGAGGGAGGAGGGAGGAAGAGGAGGAGAGAGGCGAGAGGAGGAATGAGGAAGGAGCAAGAGGAGTGGAGAGAGTGCAGCGATGCGGGCGGAGTGTCCGTCTGGGCACGCGGGGTGCAAGTGCCCGCTACCGATTTTCGAGTGAGACTGTGGGGTCTCGGGCGTTCTCGACTCTGTCCGTGAACCGGTCCCGCGTGCGGAGCTCGCGGCTGTAGTTCAGTGTTTGCGTTGTGTTGACCCGTCCCAGCAGTTGCACAACGTAAGAGCGTGTTTCTTTACTCCTTGGGGCACAATGGGCATTACAGCCTCCGACCCCCCCTCCTCCCGCTTGTAACGTAACGCCCCTCTCCCCCAATGAGTTCTGCGCACTGCCGCCGTGCCCCTTAGGCACACGGCGGGGGGGGAGGCGTTATACCCACCCCCCTTTGGCCGCCTCCCACCCTCCCTATAATGCTTATTATCGCCGAAAGTAAAGAAACGCGCTCTAACTGATCATGTCAGCTTGGTCAAGGTTTTTCTGGCGGGTCGTGCGGCCTCTGCGAGGCGCGCCAATTTCAATCTCTGGCAGGAGTTTGAGGGCCTTGTTTCGGGCTGACCTGGGGATTTTCAGCTCTCGCACGTGCCCAGCCACTTGCTGGACGATCTCCCAAAGCTTGCCCGTTTTGGCGACTCCGTGCTTTTGGACCATGTCGCGCTTAACTCCACTGCCGACGACCTCGCTGATGCGAGAGCTGCCCAGGTTTAGGTCCCACCGATTGTTGTCCAGGGTAATAATGAGCTTGTGTCTGATGCCTGCCTCATCCTTAGGCGCAATACGTCCATTATCGTAGGCTGTGCCTCCTTGCGAGCCGAGCCACTCCATGGTCTGGCCAAGCACCCCCTGGATTTGCTTCTGCGTAGGCGCAGATGGATCGAGGCAAATGTTTGCGGTTCGTCGCACATCTGGGACTTTGATTCTGGGACGTGGCTGTGCGGCATGTGGCATGTGCAGGGCCTCTGTTTCAGATGCTGCCCCCTCGCTCCGTGCCAGGCTTGGCTCTGTCTGCCCTGCTTACGGAGGTGCTTCGGCGGTTGAGGCGGAGAAGGTCCTGATTCAGAAATGGGTGAGGCGCGAGCGCCAGCTGCCTCCTCGGGACGACTCCCTGTTGAGGCGTGGGCTTCGATCCGCTCCCTGAGCAAGGTGCTCCTTGTGTTGTGGGCAAAGCTGTCCGCCTTTCCTGTCCCACAGTTTATGGCAGAAGGGCTCTTCCACGTTCTGCGGTGAGTGCGGATCTTGGGCTGTAGCTCGCCCAGATGCCTTGCGGGAGCTCCGCCCTGCCGCCACCTTGGGGCCGCACGCTATCACCAAGCACCAGCCTGAGGTCTTGCGGCGCCTGAGCAAAGTGCTTTCGCCCTCCAAGGCCACTAGCTGCTGGTTGCGCTAATTGTCTGATCCCTGCCCGTCGACCCCTGCATCTTTGTGCACTGGAGTTCGGCTAGCAGTGGTGCACTGTTAAAAACAGAAATACTCCCCCCCCTCCTGCGCCCAGAAGCAAGAGCAAGCGGGTAGGAGGACCAGGCTTGGAAGCTCTCTGCCACGGCCCGGGACCCTCGGGGGGCAGGGGGGGGGGGGTGGAGGAGGTAAGCAGGCTGAGGAGGACCCGGACCTACAACAAGACGGTGATTTCTTAATATCGAATCCATTTTCAGGTAGCGGGGCCTTCAAGAACCATCCGGGGCGACACCCGTTCTCGTGGAGGGGCTCGAGGGCCATGTGGCCTGCGGAGTGGACAAGGCAAAGCAGCAGCGTGGAAGTGGGATTCTTGGCAGATGAAGCGCCAGCCTCGCCCGGGGGACGCTTGCAGCGGCAACGAGGAGCCGCACTGTGGTCGACATGCAAAAGACGGAGCTGGCAATCGTGAGAGAGACGGTGGTGATCGCAGTGGTGCTGGTGACGACAGTGGTGCGGTTGGTACGGGTGTGGGCTGATGCGAAGCGGGCGCGTACGATGATGGTGGTCACGGTCACTGTAATGGAGACGGTGGTGATGGTCTGAAGCGTATTCCACAACACTTGTGGTTGCGGTTGCGGGCGCCCGCTGGTGACCCAAGACGTGTTCCCCGAACTGTCCGCCGACGTCGGTCAGTCAGTGAGTCAGTCAGTCGTGGCGGGCACGGAGTTTCGCCCGGCTCTGCCTGGAGGTGAGGACGTCGGAGGCCCTTCGCTGCCCTGATGCGCCCGTCTTGCGACGCAGGACGTGCCGTGTTCGAGACGTCCGTGTCAGCGCGCCGTGTGTTGGCTCAACGCGCTGGCCCGCGCTGTGGCGAACGCATCGCGCCAAGCGCACAGCCCACCACGAGAGTAAGGATGGGGCAACCTTCCAGGGCCGCCCCTGCATCCACACCCCTTTCGGTCTTCGGCATCCTTTTCCGCATTCGGCTGCGCCCCGCACGGGAAACGCCAACACGGCGTGCCAAGGCCCTTTGCATCCTTACCGCGCATCCTTACCGGAGGAGGAGGAGGAGGAGGAGGAGGAGGAGGAGGCGGGGGGGGGGGGGGGGAGGAGGAGGAGGGAGGAGGAGGAGGAGGAGGAGGAGGACGAGGAGGAGGAGGAGGAGGACGAGGAGGAGGACGAGGAGGAGGACGAGGAGGATTACCTATCCTGGTCGAGCGTACGTCTTCAATCCACGCGTGGAGCTCCGTGCCAGCACGCCACGCGGCCTGCGCGCGGCGCAGCGGGGGCGGCCGCCGTCCCGAGCCCGTGCGCGCGGCGCGGGGCGCCCGCCCCGCCGCCGCCGAGCGGCCGCCGCCCCCCCACGGGGAACTCGGCTCCGACGGCCCCCGCGCGGCGGCCGAGAGGGCTCCCCCCCCCCCCGTGCCCCCTTGGCGGCCGCACGGGCTCGGGCGCCCGGCGGGCTCGGGAGGACTCGGAGGAGGAGCGCCCTGGGGGCCGGGGATGGGGGGAGGGAGGGCCCTCGGCGGCAGCGCCCGCTCGCCCCGGGGAGGGAGGGAAGCGCTCCTCCGCTCCTTTTTTCTGAGCGAATGTTTTTGTTTTGTCTGAGGGACGGTAAGGGGACAAAAACATGGAACCCCTTCGTCTTCGGCCCCGCATTCGCTCCCACCCCCCCCCCTTCACCCCAATTTCAAAGTTGGGTTCGGCCTCTCGGAGTCCCTGGGGGTTCCACTTTTTTTGTCCTCTCACGCCTGTGCTGCCATATGCTCGAGGCCAACTTTGAAATTGGGGGGAGGGGGGGGCGTGGTGTCAAGGGTTCCACTTTTTTGTCCATCTACGGGAGGGGAGGGGAGGGAGGACTGGAGGGGAGGGCGGGGGGAGGGAGAAGGGGAGGGAGGGGGAGGGCCCTGAAAGTCCGGCGCTCGCTCGTCCCGGGAGGGAGGGAGGTCGTCGTCGTCGGACTGAGGCGTGGGCAGCGTGTTGAGCTCCGCTGTGACTCTGCTGGGCGGCGCGCGGAAAAAACACTGAGGACCTGGATCCAGGTCTTGTGCGCCACCGCGCGGAGTCTAGACAGCGACAACAGATACGAGACGTGGCATATCGTGCAGGACCCAGAGCATGCGCGCACACTCCCGAGAGGGGGGCCAGGAAGAAGACGGGGCGGCGAGGCGGCGAGGGGCAAGCTGAAGGAGCCAGCGGGGAGAGCGGCTGGGGACGACCCACGAAGAGGGAGCCTGACCTAATTCGAGCTGTACGCAAGCTACAGAGCTGGGAAGCAGACTGTTCGAATGGGAATGATCACGAGCGCTAGTCTTCAGTATCGAGACGAACTCGACCTGTGGACAAGCAAGGAGCTGTGAAGCACATTTCTATGAAACCGTACCCTCGCGCGCGCGGAATGCGAGACTGCCGCGCTCGCATGCCATTCATGCATACCGCAAGGAAGCTCTACGAGTTTCCGGCGTAACACGCATAATGGCTGGACGGCGCATGCGCAGCGGGCCCGGCTGCTTGCCGAACTTTTTCCACACCTTGAAGTGTAGCAAATCCCCCTCCCCCCTGCATTGGGCAAGCCGGGCGGCGAGCTTCCCAGCCGTGGTGGTGTCGTGCTTCTGGACAAGGACGAGGGAGGGAGGAGGGAGGAGGGAGGAGGGAGGGAGGACGGAGGAGGGAGGGCGGGAGGGAGAAGGGAAGGAGATGGTAGGGCCCTCAGGTCTGGGCGGGGGGCTGAAGCCAGTCACCATCGGCATTTTCTCGCCGCTTATCGGGCCGCGTGGGCCTCACTCGACCGGTGCGGCCTCAGCATAGCCCGCGCGGGCACGGGGCTTCGTGTTCTTGCGCGGGGCAAGCCATGCTCTTGGCATCGCTCGGACGTGCGCGTTTGTTCCTCCGCAAGGGCCGTCGAGGAGCATTGTTGCGCATCTTGCGAAAACTAGACGCACGAAGCCGAACGCTGCGCGGGGAATGGACGCCCGAGCGATGGCAGGTGCTGGCTGCACCGAAAACCTGGCGGAGCCACGAACCCCAACCGCGGAGCACGCTCGGGCGTGCTCAGCGAGATAGGGATACGCAGCCAGCGCGCCTAGCAAGGGCGCGCGCGTTGTATGCGCGTTGACTGCCTGTCCTTCGTGCTTGGGCCCTCCACCCTGCAGCGCTCCTTCACTCTCGGATCGCGCCAGGGGCGGCGCCGGAGGCGCCGCCGGGGGGCCCCAGCGCGGATCCGAGAAATCCGCGCGGACCTCCGAGTTTTTATTTTTTATGCCACTTTTTGTTTCCCGAATCTCGTACCTGCTCCCTCCGACCGACCTGTGACCAGCGTGGGGGGCATTGACGGAGGAGTCTGGCACGAGTGTCCGCCGACCTCTCCCCGGGCCCGTGAGGGCCGCGGGCTCGGGGGGGGGGGGGCCTCCGGTCTCGGGGCAGCGCCTCGGAGCTGAGCGCGAAGGGGCACCTCGGGCCCACCCTGGCCCCAGCAGGGAAGCCCCCCTTTGTCGCGCCCTCTCCGGGCGGCCTCCTGCTGGCGGCGCGGTGGCTGCAGTGCTCGAGCATCGGGAGCGAAAAAGCGGGGGGGGGATGACTAGGGGGGGGAGGATTTCATGGCGCGGGCCATGATTTTTTTCATCAGATTTCATGGCGCCTCTTCTTATTTAATCGCTTCGCTCATGCCGCCGGCCCTGGAGCCCTCTTTAGGGCCTCTTGGGGGCCTCTTGGGGACCTCTTGGGAGTCTCTTGGGGCTCCTTGGCGGCGTTTTGGAGGCCCCCAGGGCCTCTTGGGGGGCTCTTGGGGGTAGTCGATTGCGGCTCCCCCCTCGGAGGCCACGATCCTCGTGAGGGGTGTCGAAAAATACCCTCCCCTGGAGTGGTCTGGTGGCTTCTCCCGGGCTTCTCTCGGGACCTTGCCGGGGTACTTTTCGTCCGGGGGCCCCCAGGGGCCGCTCCGCGCGCGCGAACTAGAAATATTGTTAACAAGTTACCGGAGATCTTAGCACGCCTCTGGCCCGTTGGGCCGGCGAATTTCATTGCGTCCCAGGCCCCCCCGCTGGGCCACGCACATGCCGCCGGTCATGATTTGCACCCCCCCTCTTGGACACCCCCCTCCTGGCCGCTCCCGAGAGGAGGGGATCGACTGCAGAATCGACGTGCCCCAGAATTGAGCTCCCGCCGAATCTGCGAGACGTGCCGACAGTGCTCCGCAGATCGACCGGCTGTGCTGCGCATTTGTCGAATGGGTTCGGCGAGGAAGCCCTGAATTAGAGCAATTCTGTAGTCGATCCCCGATTCGACGTGTGCCAGTTCCGGTCGGGTCGGATCCCCCTCTCCGTTCCTTCCTCCCTCCTCCGTCTCCCTGCCCTCTCCCTCGTGTAGCGTGAAGTCAGGGCCTGTTCCTCTACAGGAGGAGTATTCAAAAATAGTATGAAAAAAAAGTCGGGGGGCTATGTGGGAGCATTTTTGAATATTTCTGGGTTGGTATTTTGCAGTTTTCGTCCAGAATCCGCCCGTTGGGGGACACGCCCGACCGAAGTGTAGCGTGCCGGTCTCATGTCGAGTCGGATCCCCCTCTCCGTTTCCCTCCTCCCTCCGTCCCCCTCCCCTTTGGCCCCTCTCTCTCCCGAGGCCCACCCCGACGAGGCCGTGGAGATCTCGTCGCCCGCTCGGCCGCCGACGGAAGGCGGCGATGGGAGAACGAAGCAGGTGACGAGGACACAGTCGTCGCCATCGTCGTCGAGGAGGGGCGAACGGAGGGGCGGAACGAAGAACGAACGAAAAGGGTGGGAAGATTGGCAGAGGGCGAGGGGAGAAGAGGAGGGGAAGAGGAAGGTCGAGGGGGAGAAGAGGAGGAGACGAAGGAAGGAGGAAAAGGATGAATATGCAGGAGAGCGGAGGGAGCAGAGGGAGGTAGGGAGGTATGTAGAGGGAGGGCGGCAGGGAGGGGAGGGAGGAGGGATGGAAGGAGGGATGGAGGGAGGGGGGAGGGAGGAGGAGGAGGAGGAGGAGGAGGAGGAGGAGGAGGAGGAGGAGGAAAAAGGAGGAGGAGGGAGGAGGGAGGATGAGGAGGAGAGGAGGAGGAGGAGGAGGAGGCAGGAGGAGGAGGAGGAGGAGGAGGAGGAGGAGGAGGAGGAAGGAACAGGAAGGAAAAGGAACAGGAACAGGAACAGAACAGGAACAGGAGAGGAGGAGGAGGAGGAAGAGGAAGAGGAGGAGGAGGAGGAGGGGGAGGGAGGAGGAAGAGGGAGGAGGAGGAGGAGGAGGAGGAGGAGGAGGAGGAGGAGAGGAGAGGAGGAGGAGGAGAGGAGGAGGAGGAGGAGGAGGAGGAGGAGGAGGCTACGGCTAACGACTCCCTGACGGACCTCCCCCAAATCCCACATCACAATTCACAGCATCGAGCTGGATCCGAAGGAGAGCTCCTGCCCACGCCGTTCACTGCTGGGCCCCGACCCATCTAGTGAACGGGCGGGCCCCCGACGGCCTCCTCACATGTGCTCCGCCTTGCAGAAGTAGACATCGTAGATCTTGAAAGGCGGCACGGCGCACAGCAAGCTCATGCATTGCGCCCTCCAGGATTCACACGTCATCAGCTACCATCACGA